GGGGGGTGGTATAAGGATGGCAGCTGAAAATTGGGATACATGTAGGGTAGAGATGGAGTACTGATAGATGGTATTGGAGTTGAGTACAGATTATGTGATATTTCTGTGTATGCTGTATGCTGAGGAAAGGTGAAACATGTCCTGGTGTAGAGGTTATGTGGATGGCTAGAAGTAGATTAGGGTGCGACAGATTAAGGGTCGAGTACATCATCTATATAACTACAGAAACAAACAAAAATTATTGTCTAGTTAAAGGTTATAGAAATTATTGGTGGGAAAGAATAGTTATGTTGTCAGAAGGATTGGGGAGGTAATGAAGAGATCCTGTATATAGGAAAGGAGCTGTTATAATACCAAGCAGTTATCATGAACACTGACAAGGGGAGAAAGAGCTATATTAGTAGATATAGGGTGGGCATCATCACATGGGGATTTGTAAGGATAGGTTAGAGGTAGAATAAGGATTGATTGAGATGATGTATACATAACAGTAAATAAGGAATAGTGTGGTGGTGTAACATAGGGTGGTGATTGGGTAGGAAATAGTTTGTGGCAGGTATTAGGGGTGGGGTGGTGGTAGGGGTGGTCGGGGTGTTAGGTTAGGGTATAGTAGTTAGAGATAGGTGTAATTAATGGCTAAGTTATAGTGTTTGGTGACTGACTGAGTCATGGGGATAGGAGTCCCAAGGTACCAGTGCTGGCGTGTAGATACAACTAGTGCTTGTATTAAGACCCTATCATCAGCATATCTACACTGTAAGGAATTGAGCCATTCATAAAGAGTGTAACCTCAATGTGTTATATACTGATTGTTAAATGGTGAGGTCATAAATCTTATATTTCTGGTCTGGGGATCTGAGGTAAATACTTTAATAATATTTGATTAACATGATGTATTTCATTTGTGTAGATAGATTGGTTTTGATAACTGACTTACACTAATTGTTTTGAAATATCTCATGTCATTAAGTAAGCGATTTGATAACAGAAGGGAGATAACTAAGATAAACATGACAGATTAGGAGTTGTTCTTACTGAAATATCATCATGGAAACATACTAAGTCACATACTGAGATGTTCAGCTGAGTGGATTAGTGAACTATACCATAAACATGTTTAAATTAGTGAACTTAACCATTAACATGGGTTGATTAATGGTGAACTATACCATTATGATGAGATGTTTAATGGTGAACTATACCATTGTGATGAGGAGGTTATTTGGTGAAATGGTGAACTATACCACTGATGTTAAGATTAATGGTGAACTATACCATTGATGAGATTAATGGTGAACTATACCATTATGATGAGTAGATTAATGGTGAACTTTACCATTAAGATGAGTACATTAATGGTGAACTGTACCATTGAGTAGATTAATGGTGAGCTGTACCATTAAGATGAGTACATTAATGGTGAACTATATCATCATGAGGAGTAGGTTAACAGTGAACTGTACCATTGAGTGCATATATGGTGAAATGTACCATTGACATGAGTCGATTAATGGTGAACTGTACCATTAAGATGGGTAATGAGTCAATTAATGGTGAACTGTACCATTAAGATGGGTACGTTAATGGTGAACTATATTATGATGATTAGATTGATGGTACCATTGAGTACATTAATGCAGAACTATACCTTTAATTTCAGTGAACTCTACCATTAAAATGAGTATATCAGTGAACTCTACCATTGAAATGAGTCCATCAGTGAACTCTACCATTGAAATGAGTTCATCAGTGAACTCTACCATTGAAATGAGTACATCAGTGAACTCTACTATTGAAATGAGTACATCAGAGAACTCTACCATTGAAAAGAGTACATCAGTGAACTATACCTTTATGATGAGTAGATTAATGGTGAGCTGTACCATTAAGATGGGTACGTTAATGGTGAACTATATCATCATGAGGAGTAGGTTAACAGTGAACTGTCCCATTGAGTGCATATATGGTGAAATGTACCATTGACATGAGTCGATTAATGGTGAACTATATCATCATGAGGAGTAGGTTAACAGTGAACTGTCCCATTGAGTGCATATATGGTGAAATGTACCATTGACATGAGTCGATTAATGGTGAACTATACCTTTATGATGAGTAGATTAATGGTGAACTTTACCATGAAGATGAGTACATTAATGGTGAACTGTACCATTAAGATGGGTACGTTAATGGTGAACTATACCATTATGATGAGTAGATTAATGGTGAGCTGTACCATTAAGATGGGTACGTTAATGGTGAACTATACCATTATGATGAGGAGGTTATTTGGTGAAATGGTGAACTATACCATTATGATGAGTAGATTAATGGTGAGCTGTACCATTAAGATGGGTACGTTAATGGTGAACTATACCTTTGAATTGAGTACATCAGTGAACTCTCCCATTGAAATGAGTAAATCAGTAAACTCTACCATTGAATTGAGTACATCAGTGAACTATACCTTTGAATTGAGTACATCAGTGAGCTCTACCATTAAAATGAGTTCATCAGGGAACTCTACCATTGATATGAGTACATCAGTGTACTCTACCATTGAAAAGAGTACATCAGTGAACTATACCTTTATGATGAGTAGATTAATGGTGAGCTGTACCATTAAGATGAGATGTTTAATGGTGAACTATACCTTTGAATTGAGTACATCAGTGAACTGTACCATTGAGTAGATTAATGGTGAACTATATTATGATGATTAGATTGATGGTACCATTGAGTACATTAATGCAGAACTATACCTTTAATTTCAGTGAACTCTACCCTTGAAATGAGTACATCAGTGGACTCTACCATTGAAAAGAGTACATCAGTGAACTGTACCATTGAGTAGATTAATGGTGAACTATATCATCATGAGGAGTAGGTTAACAGTGAACTGTACCATTGAGTAGATTAATGGTGAGCTGTACCATTAAGATGGGTAATGAGTCAATTAATGGTGAACTGTACCATTAAGATGGGTACGTTAATGGTGAACTATATTATGATGATTAGATTGATGGTACCATTGAGTACATTAATGCAGAACTATACCTTTAACTTCAGTAGATCAATGGTGAACTCTACCATTAAAATGAGTTCATCAGTGAACTCTATCATTTAAATGAGTACATCAGTGAACTCTACCATTGAAATGAGTACATCAGTAAACTCTACCTTTGAAATGAGTACATCAGTGAACTCTATCATTGAAATGAGTACATCAGTGAACTCTACCATTGAAATGAGTACATCAGTGAACTCTACCATTGAATTGAGTACATCAGTGAACTCTACCTTTGAAATGAGTACATCAGTGAACTGTTCCATTGAGGTTATAGTAAGAGTAGATTAGTCAACTACACTGTTAATATGAGTAGATCAGTAGTGAATTGTTAAATTTAAGTAACTGCAGTTATTTTACTTATTAGACCCTATATTAAAAATACAGGATGGGCATGAGCTATGTTGAGCTTCATGTGTAGAGTCAGAGACAGACTTAATCCTAAAAATGTAAACAAGAACAAAATCACCTCACTGTGTTTGTCTCTCTACATACCTAGAAACAGTTGTAAACATGATGTACTATCTGTCAGAATCAGACTGGGTAACAGGTAGCTGGGGGCCTCAATAGCCACAGGTATACTGAGAAACGTATGGGGGCATAATTCAACTTGACCTGATAATTGTGTATCTACTGCGCTGTATCAGTTTATATAATCAGGATACTGAGACTGATTGGTGCTGACATCACTGATGGGGTTAAACTCAGCCCTGAAGACCTCTACACATCGTAACAGCAGGCTCACTCTGGTGATTTGGTCTTCAACATAACTATTATGACCCTAAAGAACACATACACAAGTTTAACTGTTTGATAATGTCTACACTCATAGCATGGGATGTTTTACTTTTAGAACAGGAAATAAAAAACTATGAAGAAAACATCTTTGATCGATCGAGAAATACAATGTATTGGCTTTAGTTTTAACCACATTGTACTAGAAATATTGTTTATGTTTGATTTTGGTATACAAATTTAAATGACTATTAAAAACAAAAGGTTCAGATGGCCTGTATTACTCAACTTAGATTTTAAAGCAATCACAGCAGAATACTTTTCATTAATAGCAATATTACCAGGGCAAATGTCTTTCACATTTTGATTTCTTAATATCAGTACCAATGGAAACAGCAACATTCTTTTGTGTAACATTTCATTTCCTGGTTACAAAGATACTAAAGCAGATTTGGTTGAAATACAGTCATCTGGTTATGAGGAGTAGGCTTTTAAGCATTTAACATCCAATTTACC